GCGATGCCTGCCATGTCCGCGGCCTCCGCCCTAGTGCGCTGGATCTCGCGCGGCGCATGCCCACGGCCGCCTGCTCGTGCTGCTGCTTGGCCCTGACGTTGGTCTGGTAGAAGCTGGCCGCTTTACGTCGCCAACGGGCCGCTCGCAGGAAGAGCGCCCATCGGCGCTTGCCCTGTCTGGCAAGCGCCGTCCGCTTGCGCTGGGCGATCTTGCGCCTGCGCTTGCCGATGGCTGCGTCGCACCCTATGTCCTTCATGACCATGGCTTGGGTGAGCTTGAATCCGTGGTCTGCTGCAACCTGGCCGACTGCATCTCGGACCGCGGCCGCTGTTGACAGGAGGGCTGACTTGCTGGAGATAGGCAGCTGGTCCTTCTTGCAGCATGCCAGGATAGCTTCCGTGCTCGTGGCCAGCTGGTGCCCAATGATGCTGGTGTGTCCCTCTGCTCTGATCTGGATGTCGTCTACAAACTGTCTGGGCCGCGCCTTTGGGGCCCTAGTGCACGCATGCCCCAAGATGTCGGACAGCATCATGCGCGCCGAGTTGTTGGCGTGAGTGCAACCAGCGAAGATGCTGTTGAACGGCGCAACTAGTAGCCCATAGGCTCCTGAGGCCCGAACAACTCTCGGTGCAACGTACACCAGCGCGCAAGTGTAGAGCTCGATTGGTGGGTACACCATCGCCTCAGCTTTGGTAAGGAGCCTGGCGAGGCTGTGATGTTGTCGTAGAACCTCTCCAAGTCCAGGAACAGGCTGGCCCATGCCTCAGCCGCCTGGCCTCGGGCTGCTGCTTCGTCCAGGCAAGCTGCCACCAGGAATGCCTGGGGCGCTGCCCGCCAACGCAGCATCCCAGAATACCGCCTTCTCGCTGCACCACTGGCCGACCTCCGTCTTGGTGAGCCTGCCCCAGATGCGCACCAGCATGGGGAATAGTCCTATGGGTCTCTCCTCACCTGCTACCGCGCTGTCGTTCTTCCTCAGCAACTGGTACCAGACGTGGTAGCATTGATGCGGCCAGGCCAACCTCTGCTCGCAGTCATTGACGACGTTGACGAGCTCCCGGCGCGCAGGCGACGCCAAGGCCAGGATCTCGGATGGTCTCCATTGGTCGCTCGCTCCCTCGCCCTGCCTTCTCCTTGAACTGCCTGAGCGCCTGGTCCAAATCATCGCAAGTATACTCGTAGCGCGTCTGGCTGGCGTGATGGGCTTTCTCGCGGAGCTGGTCCATGGCCGTTTTCAAATCCGAAGAGTCTGTGCCCCTTTGCCACCTTGCTCCCCAGGCGCTGGCTCGCATGTTGGCCCCGTCCTGCAAGGCCCCTTGGGCGCTGCCACTGGTTGGGTCCATCGTCACCTCGCTGAGCTCCTTGCGCTCGGGCTTGCTCAAGTACCTGTGGCCTTCTCCCACGGGGCCTTGCAAGGCCTGCTCCGTCCAGTGGCGCACTGCAGACTTGGTCGCCGGCCATACCTGCTTCGCGCGTGCTTCTGCTCGAGCCCGTGCCGTCTTGACTGCGCACTGCCAGACATCTTCTTCATCCTCGATGTCTGGGTCACTCACTCGTGGTGGTGGTCAGGGCCTTGGCGCGGCGCATGGCTCTGCAGTCTTCGGAGTCGCCGTTCTAGTGTAACTGCTGTGCCGTCATGATGTCCTGGCACCTTTTTTTCGATGATCTCGCATCTATGTGCTCTGGGGCTGGTCTCCCCCCTGGCTGCCACCTTCATCAATTCCGTGACACTGCCTGCCAGGGTGCCCCACATGTTGACTTCTGGTCTGCGCGCCCCTTCTCGGCCACCTCGCTGCTGCTTGGTGAGGGCTGCAGCGGACATCCACGTGTGCTTCAGCGTCTGGCCCCTCCGCGCCGAGGTCCGATGTGCGAGGTCGCACAACGTGGCTAGGCAATGCTCCGCAGCCATGGCCCACTTTCCGAACCTCTGGCCCAAGTAGTCTGCGTCTGTGGGGTTGGCCGTGTAGGCGAGGGATCGGGCTATCCAGTTCGGCGCTCCATCCACTCGGCAGTCCTCGAACATCTTGGCTGCAGGGTCCCGACCTTCAGCGTCGCAGGCTGCTGGTGCCGTCTTGGAGTACGTGGCACTGAGGAGGTGTCCGTGGGCTTCCATGTCGGCTTCGCCCAATCCCACCTCGCCGGACTGCTCGTAGATGTGTCGACCCCGCTGGGCTCGCTTGACACTTTGGTCGATCTGCAGTTGGATGGTCGGGATCTCGTGGTGCCTTGCCATCTTGGGAACTCGCAGCTGGACTTCGCTTGGTCTCGCTGCGGTGGCGAGCCGCAGTCCAAGGTGTGGCCCCCATGGCACTTGTCGCACGACTTCCAGTCCCCGGATAAACGGCCGAGCGCTCTCTGAATATATGACGTAGTCCAGGGCTCGCCCTCCGCCGCCCGTGTGCGCGACGTCGGCGTCATTTGGCTGCATGGTGCGTCCTTCTAGGGCACCTGGCCACCCGGGAGAGGCCATGTCCTCGGGCGCGCAGTCGAAGTCGGCCAGGATGAACCACGGGACTCCCAGCGAGCGCGTGAGCCTCAGCAGGTTCCCCATCTTGGTCGCGCTGGCTCCCTGTAGGCCGATGCTGCAGTCCAGGTAGCAGCGTGCGAAGGCGAAGGTGCCGTTCTTGACTCGGGCCATCGTGACCGTGGCGTCCGTCAGCTGGTCGTGGAAGACCCCTCTCCCCGTCTTGTCCGCCAGGTGCGAGTGCGTGTTGAGCTCGGTGCGCCGCAGCCAGCGCGTGCCCCCATGCGCGCCTGCTTGCCTGCCTGGCGCCTCTCGCTTACTAGGAGTGGCCGTTGTCCAGGAGTGGAGCGAGCGCCGTCCGAAGCGCCTGAGGCGTTGTTCCCCAGCGTCGCACTTCTCCTTGCCCATGTGGTGCTCGGCTAGCCCCATCAGGTCGAAGGCCTGGCCTAGCTCGACGAACGTCTTGGCCGCGTCGTTGCGCCGGCTGCAGCTCCCAAAGAAGATCTGCAGGCACTCACGATGCTTGAGTGGCTCCCAGCTGCCCACGGACGAGACCTGCCTCCCCCACTCCTTGGTCGTCTTGCTGCCGTTGGCCTCCTCTGGGTTGCCGTGCTGCTCGTCGCCCAGGTACGTGTGTGGGTTTGCCAAAATGCCTCCCCTCGTGGCCCATCGGACTGCATCCGGCAGTCGGGCCCATGGCGCGCGCCGCCCTCAAAGCGCACCTGCTTGAAGATCTTGCCGTCGCAGTAGTGACTACTGCCCTGCTTGTTGTCGGATGCAGACTGCTGGGTACTCTCATCGCTGGGGCAATTTATCGCAAGCTGCCCCCAACTGCTTGAACGGGTACATGAGCCTTGGGGCGCCGCTCCCATCGGGACTGGCACCCCTGGGCCGTGCCTCTCGCCGCCTCCCTGGTCGATCGGGAAGGTCATGCCAGCCCGCGCGCACCTCCAGTGTTATCCAGACGTGGGCAGCGTGCCGTCGGCACGGACACCAGCAGCAGGAGCAACACCTTCAGCAGCAGAGGGTGCCTCCTGGTCTGGTGCCGCGGTTCCACTCTTGGCGACGGCGACCTTCTGGCGGGCTTTGATCTGGGCCGTCTGCTCGATGTACTTGGCCATCTGGTCGGGGTCGGAGAAATCCACTGAGCCGTTGCCGCCGCCGCTGCTCGCACCTCCTGCCTCGGCTGCCTTGGAATTGCCCTCAGCCTCGGTCTGGGTTGTGCCTACTGGCGTGCCCTTGTCGCTCTCGCGGCGCATCCTCTTGCGGCTCTGGACCTTGGCCTGCAACTCGCGGAGTGTGGCCGCCACCTCCTTGACCGAGCTGTCCTCTTCCTTGCAGGCCTCGAACATGCCCTTAGCCTGAGCGGCCAGGCCCGCTGCCTGCTGGTACTTGACACGGCTGGGCTCGTCCAGCAGCTCGCGGTCATCTGCGTCGAGCCCGGGGAAGTCCTCCCAAGCGTCGGGCGCGGTGGTGTTGTTCGTGCTTTCGGCCTCCGCTCCTATGCCGCAGCCCGCCTGCTGGACCTCGAGCTGCAGGATGTCCAGTTGCTGCTTGGCCGCGAAGACCTCCCCGATGGTCTCGTCCAGCTATGCGATGAGCTCCGTGCGTGTCTGCTCGTTGCGCGTGAGCTGCCCTGCCACCTTCTCCTGGTGCTGCTGGGCCTGACGCCAGCGCAGGGCCGCGGCCTCCAGGCGCACTCCGAGCTTGGGCTCTGGCGGCGGCGGCGGCGGCTCAGGCGGCGTGGGCGAGAGCACAGGGAACTAGCCAGCTGGGCGGCCGCCGCCGCCGTGGCTCCTTCTCCTGCCTTGGCTGCCGTGACGACCGCCTGCAATGCCTGCAGGTTGGCCTGGTCGAGCCCGAGCTTCTCCAACGCCTGCTTGGCGGGCTCGTCCTGCTTGTTGGTCGCCGCCGTCTCTGGCCACTTGTATCCACAAGAGTGGCAGGCTTCTTATCCAGGGGTACCCGCGCGCTTCGCCCACACCCAACTCTTCCCTTGTGGGCAGTTGGGGCACACGAGGTAATCCCCTCGGCGGCGCTGGCTGGCTGACCTGGGCCTGCTGTGCCCGCGCTGCTGCCGCCACGGCCAATGGGCGCTGCCTCCTCCTCGGCCGCCTTGGCCGCCCCGACCTCCTGTCGCCATGGTCCAGGGCGGCCGCTGGGATTGGCCGTCGTTTTCTCGTCCTGCAAATCTTCTGCGGTTGCCTCTGTAGCTCCCCTCAAGCGCGGCCCCCCGCTGCCCGACCCACGTCGGTAATTACGCGATCGCAGGCCAGCCCGCCCGAGCGCCTGCGCGCCCACTGCAAGCCGAAATGCTTGAGAGGAGGAGGAGGGGGATGAGGAGGAGGAGGGGGAGGAGGAAGAGGAGGAGGAGGAGGAGGAGGAGGAGGAGGAAAGGGAAGAGGAAGGAGGAGGGAGGAGGGGGAGGAGGGGAGGGAGGAGGAGGAGGAGGAGGAGAGAGGAGATTAGGAGGGTGGGAGGGAGTGGGGAAGGAGGAGGAGAGGAAGGGAGGGAGAGGAGGAGGCGGAGGAGGAGCTCCTCGGGCGAGGGCACCGCGCCGTCCACCGCCGCCGCCGGCGCCTGCTCCGCCGCGGGAGCTGCAGCGGCCGCCGGCGCGGGCCCCTGCTGCCGCGTCTCCGCGGAGGGCACGGGGGCCGCCGCCGCCTCGTCGGCCGCCGTCGAGGCCTCCTCGAGCGCGGCCGCCGGCGACTGCGCCGCCGTGGGCGCTGCCGCGGCCGTCGCCGCGGGCTCTTCCTGCCGCGGTTCCGCGGAAGGAGCGGGAGCCGCCGCCGCCTCTTGAGCAGGGACCGACCGTCCCAGCATTCCGGCAGGCGTACCAAGACATGTTCTTCGAACAACATAGTGTTCGAGCGACCAAGAACAACGCTCTTAGAACACGAAGCCGATGCACCGAAACGAGACGGTCCGAGCCAGACATGCTGTGAGAACACTTCGTGCAAACCACAAGAAAGTTCTCAGAACATTCTGTGGTGGGCCTGTGGGCAGGCTGGGACGCTTCGCCACTGCCGCAGCCTCGTCGGTCGCCGTCGGGGCCTCCTCGAGCGCGGGTGCCGGCGCCTGCTCAGGCGCAGGCGCCGAGATATCCACTGCCGCGGGCGACTCCTCCGCCTCGGACACTGCGGCGTCCGCCACCGCCGTCGACTGCTCGGGCGAAGGCGCCGTGGCTCCCGCTGCATCCTTGGCGGCGTTCGCCTCGGCAACGACAGCTGTCTTCGCGGTCTCGAGGTCCTCCGGGGTACGCTCCGGCACTCCGTTCGTCAACGGTTCCGTGATGTCCTGAAGCGGCTCCCTGCGGCGGGAGCGCCCGAAAAGAGCGCGGACGCAGTGCATGGCCCGGCGCGGCATTGCAAAAAGATCGTGAGGGTGAGGTCGCTGCGCCCCGCCTCTCGAGTGCCCCAGAACCGGTAAAACTGCTTGACCCCAAATGGCTGCGGATGATTGCACCCCCTCTGAACTCTCTTTGGTTCCCCGAGTGGGCGCTGGCGCAATGCTTGGTCGTGCGGGGATGGACTGCCACGGAGAGAATCAAATATGATCCTCCTCCTCCTCGTCCTGTTTCCTTATTTTCCTACTCGTCGTCCTCCTCCTCCTCCTCCTCCTCCTCCTCCTCCTCCTCCTCCTCCTGCTCCTCCTGCTCCTTCTGCTCCTCCCTCTCCTCCCTCTCCTCCTCCTCCTCTCCTACCTGCCACTCTCTCCTCCTCCTCCTCCTCCTCCTCCTCCTCCTCCTCCTCCTCCGTCCTCTCCGTGCTTCCTCCTCCTCCCAACCTCCTCCTCCTCCCTCCTCCCGCCTCTCCCCTCCTCCTCCTCCTCCTCCTGCCTCCTCTTGCCTTCCCCCTCCTCTCCTCCACCCCCTCCTCCCCTCCTCGCTCCTCCTCCTCCTCCTCCTCCCTTCCTCCTCCACCTCCCACCTCCTCCCCTCCTCCTCCTCCTCATCCTCCGCTCCTCTCCTCCTCCTCCTCCTTCCTCCCTCCCCTCCTCCTCCTCCTCCCCTCCCCCTCCCCCTCCCCCCCTCCCCCCCCCTGATCCTCCTCCCTCCTCCTTACCTCCTCCGCCTCTCATCTGTTCGTTCCTTGCAGCGCTGGCACCAGTCCTCCTCCGCCACCTCCTCCTCTCCCTCCGCCTCATCCTTCTCCTCCTCCTTCCCCCTCCCTCCTCTGCCTCCTCCTGCTCACTCCTGCTCCTGCTGCCTGCTCCTGCTCCTCCTCCTCCTCCTCCTCTCCTCCTCCTCCTCCTCCTCCCTCCGTCCCCTCTCCTCCTCCTCCTCCTCCTCCTCCTCCTCCTCCTCCTCCTCTTTGTCTTCTTCTTCTTATTCTTGTTATTCTTATTTATGTTTTATACGTTGCGCAGACTCGGGAGGATCAACCGTAGCGTCCACCCTCCTCCTTTTCCTCCTCCTCCTCCCTCCTCGTCCTCCTCTCCTTCTTGCTTGTGGGGGCCCCAACCGCCGTGGGAGCGTGTTGTCCCAGAAAGGTGGCCATCCCCGAGTGGGCGTCCAGGAGTTACTCGCATGGAACTTTTCAAGCTGAAATTCCGCCACCGTGCCAAAGGCACGCGGTGGAGTGTCGTCAAGTCCAATTTTTTACGTGTCGAGAATCTGCACCCACGCCAGTTCGAATGAGCCTCAGCGGGCTTGCCCCAGGAGTGAGCCTCAGGCGTGAACCTCTGCAACCAATTGCTGGATGATCGCCAATGGAGGTATCGGCGGCCCTCCTCCTCCATCCTCCACGCTCTCGCCTCCCCAAAGCTGGACCTGGGATCCTCCCTGCCCCCCTTTTCCAGGGGTGCGTTGTCCCATGTCTCAGCTGACGCTCCCCCGAAGTGAGCCAGCGTCTAAGGAACTGCCCAGACACTGGCAGAGACAGGGGAACGGCATCGAAAATAGTTACTCCAGCCGTGGAGAAGTGCATGCAAGGAGATCGAAATCTCTCTCTCTCTCTCTCGGGTAAACTTCGCCATGCTCACATACTTATTCTGAACTCCCTACACATAGGCTCGAAATAGAGCCATGCAAGACATTAAACAACAGCACTACAAAATTCACGCTGGGTTCGGAACGCGGTCTCTGTGCGACAATTAAAAAATTCCGTCAAAAAAAAAGTCTTAAAGGTCGACAGTGACGAATGGTCACTGTGGCCGCGCAAGCGACAAGGTTCTGAACCAGTAGACCGTGATCAGGCACAGAACGCGCTAACTCACAGCGCACAACGCAACAAATCAACCGCTCGGAGTTGCGATCGTCCGGCATCCGAAGACGACGAAAAAGAAACACATAAGAAGCAGGAGCTTGAGATTTGCCCGCGGTGCAGGGAGGGCAGTGTAAGCAGGGGAGAGAGGACAAGGAAGAAAGGCATGGAGGGAAGGATGCGGGGGATAGTGCAGACTGTCGCGTGTAACTCTACATCGTGATGTTAAACTTGTTCCCCCCGAGGGGACTCCCAGAACACCCCGTTCTCGCACTTTCAGGGGTCGCCGCGCTGCGCTCAAGAAATTGTCTGCCAGACGCGGGTTCAGGATCCAACTGGGCCCGCCCAGCACAAGCAACACGGCGCAAACTTCCAAGTCCGCACAGAGGTGACTATCACCCCGAAAGAGAGAGTGCAGCGACTGCCGCACCGCGGCCCGCCAACCTCAGACAAGAGGCGCAACGGGGCCAAACAGGAATCAGCAACTACCGCCGTTTTACCACCACACAACGCATATCCACCCTCTTACTGGTTCGAGGCCCGTGGCGGGCAAGTGCGTCAGCCTAAACGGCGAACATATCTGTCTAAATGGTGGAGCCACCAAAACGGCCTAAACGGTAGAACGGTGCGTCAACCTAGACGGCCTAAACCGCGCGTCAGCCTCAAGGGCCTCAACGGTGGAGCCTAAGCCGCCTAAGCGGCATCTCTGTCTAAACGGTGGAACGGTGCGTCAGCCTAAACTTCCGTTGTCTCGTCTTCGATCCTGCTGGCCAGGCCCGCGAGGCCGCGGATACGGACGCGCATTTCGCCCGCGGCAGAAAGCCCAGGCGCCGCGGGCCCAGCGGGGCGGCGCGGCGCGCGCGGCGGCGGCGGCCTGCCCCGCCCACGCGGGGGGCCATCGCCGCGGCCTGCGGCCACGCGGCGCCTGGCATGCCTGGCCTAGCGGCCCTCCTCCGCCGGGGTGGGGCACCTCCCGGGTAACATCGTTCCAGGCTCCACGTCCCTCACGGGGCGACTAGCGACGTGTGCTCGCAGTGCGGACGCAGGATGCACTTTTGCCGACCCGTCAAAATGGGACAATATTTCATCACGGCACAATATGTGTCGTAGATTCAACACATGTGTATGTACCGAGGAAGAGAGAAAGAGCGAAAGAGAAAGAAAGACAGAAAGGGCAGTCGGTACACAAGCGGTTGGCGACGAGGAAGAGGAGGGCCAGCATCAACTCCAGAACCCCATCCGAATACGACCGACGGCCTTCCTGCTCCTCCTCCTCCTCCTCCACCCCGTCCCCCTCCTCCTCCTCCCTCCTCCTCTTCCTCCTCCGCCTCCTCCTCCTCCTCCTCCTCCTCCCTCCTCCTCCCTCCTCCTCCCTCCTCCTCCCTCCTCCTCCCTGCTCACTCCCTCCTCCTCCCTCCTCCCCTCCTCCTCCTCCTGCTCCTCCTCTCCCCTGCTGCTCCTCCTCCTCCCCCCTCCTCCGTCCTCCTCTCCTCCCTCGTATCCTCCCTCCTCCTCCCTCCTCCCTCCCTCCCTCCTCCTCCCTCCTCCTCCTCCTGCTCCTCCTCTCCTCCTCCTCTCTCCTCCTCCTCCGCCTCCCTCCTCCTCTCCTCCTCCTCCTCTCCTCCTCCTCCTCCTCCTCCTCCGCCTCCGCCTCCGCCTCCGCCTCCGCCTCCAGCCCTCCGCTCCTCCTCCTCCGCCTCCTCTCTCCTCCTCCGCTCCTCCTCCTCCTCTTCTTCCTCCTCCTCCTCCGCCTCCTCCTCCTCCTCCTTCCGCTCCTACCGCTCCTTCCGCTCCAGCTCCTGCTGCTGATGCTGTTCGTCCTCGTCCTCATCCATCCTCATCCTCCTTTTGATCCTCCTGCTTATCCTCATGGTCATCCACCATCTCCTCCTCTGTACGCAACTTCCCCTTTCCGATTGTGCATAACACACTGGGGCCTTATTTGGAGTTCCAGGTCCGCTATGACAAGCAACCGCGGATAGAAAACAATCAGCGCAATGGGAAGGGACCTGTGGAAAGGGTATAGGATGTCATATCTGGCGCGAGCGCACCTAGCTTGTCTCCTCTCCTCTCCTCCATCCCTTCCTCCTCTCCTCTCCTCTCCTCTCCGCCTCCACTCCCTCCTCCCTCCCCCTCCCCTCCCTCTCCCTCCTCTCATCTCTCCATGCCTCCCTCATCTCTCTCCCCACCCCTCCCACCCTTCCTCATTTTGTTCCCACCCCGGATGGGTCCCATCTCCCAAACCCTCCTCCCCTCCCTTGGCACCAAGGAGACGGGTCCTAAGGCAAAGAAGTCCTGGATCCCTGGCCCTTCCCCCTGGACCGGTTCTTCATCCCCAGTCGTTTCCTGACAGCCTCAGGGCCCGTGGAGGGCCCCCCGGAAGCCAACAGCTGCGAAAAGGCCTCAAGACCCGTTTCCTTCAGGACCCGTTTCCTTCATGGCGACTCCCCTCCCTCCCTCCCTTCCCCTCTCCCTCTCCCGCTGCGGGCACGTCCGCCAACGCACTTTGATCGGGAGCCGGCGCAAGAATACAAGGGAGGCCGTCGACCGCCTCCGGCCCATCGTAGGCGTCCTGGTCGTCCCATCGTAAGCGTGCCCCGCTCCCTACTCTCCCTCCCTCACTCCTCCCCCTCCCTCCCTCCCTCCCTCCTCTCCCTCCTCTCCCGCCCTCCCTCCCCTCATCTCCCTCCTCTCCCTCCTCTCCCGCCCTCCTCTCCCTCCTCCCCCTCCCTCCTCTCCTCCTCCCCCTCCCTCACTCCTCTACCTCCTCTCCAGCCCTCCCTCCCATCGTAAGCGTCCCCCCTCCCCCTCCCTCCTGAGGCGAGGAGCGCACGGGAACCGCAGCCCCCCTCCCGACACCAGCCTTCGGGTCGACGTCGAGCGCCAGGCTCCGCGCGCGGGTCCTGGAGGCCTCGGCGGAGGAGGGCGTGCAGGAGGAGGAGGAGGAGGAGGAGGAGGAGGAGGAGGAGGAGGAGGAGGAGGAGGAGGAGGAGGGGGAGGAGGAGGTAGGGGATGAGGAGGAGGAGGAGGAGGTGGAGGAGGAGGAGGAGGAGGATAGGAGGAGGTGGGAGGAGGAGGAGGATTGAGGAGGAGGGAGGAGGAGGCGGAGGCAGGAGATGAGGAGGAGGGATGAGAGAGGATGAGAGGAGGAGGAGGACGACGAGGCTGGTGACGACGGTGGTGGTGGTGGTGGTGGTGGTGGTGGTGGTGGTGGTGGTGGTGGTGGTGGTGGTGGTGGTGGTGAGGATGACGATGCTGCTGATGATGACGATGACGATGACGATGACGATGACGATGACGATGGTGCTGATGTTGATGCTGGTGCTGCTGATGACGTGATGATGCAGAAGATGAAGATGAATCTGAAGATGAGGATGACCATGATGATGACGATGACGATGAAGATGAATTTGAACATGAATGATAGCATGATGCTGATGATGATGGTGATGATGATGATTATGATGGTGGTGATGATGCTGCTGATGTTGATGTTGGTCATGTTGGTGATGCTGATGATGCTGATGATGATGCTGATGATGCTGATGATGACTATGTTCATGACGATGATGATGCTGCTACTGATGATGGTGATGATGATTCGGTGATGATTCGATGATGATTATGGTGATGCTGCTGCTGCTGCTGCTGCTGCTGATGATGATGATGATGATGATGGTGGTGGTGGTGGTGGTGGTGGTGGTGGTGGTGGTGGTGCGAGGAGGAGGAGGAGGAGGAGGAGGAGGAGGAGGAGGAGGGTGATGATACTGATGGTGCTGATGATGATGCCGCTAGCGCCGCTGGGGAGTATGGTAATGACGGTGCCGGTGATGAGGAGGAACAGCGGAGCTGCATGCGATTCAGGAGAACAAGGACGAGGAGCATACTCAGAAGAGGAGGAGGAGGAGGAGGAGGAGGAGGAGGGGGAGGAAGAGAACGACAAGAGGGAGGAAGATGAGGGTGAAAGGTGGACGGGAGAGGGTGGACAGGCAGAAAAGAAAGAAGAGGAGGAGGACCTCCTCCTCCTCCTCCTCCTTCTTCCCCTCTTCCTCCTCCTCCTCTTCCTCCTCCTCCTCCACCTCATCCTCCTCCTCCTCCTCCTCCCCCTTCTCCTCCTCCTCCTCCGCCTCCTCCTCCTCCACCTCATCCTCATCCTCATCGTCCCCCCTCCCCTCTCCTAGGAGGGGAGGCGGGCGCGGCGACGGAGCAGGGGGGGGGACTCGGCCTCGAAGTCCGCAGGCAGCGACTGGCGCGAGGACTGCATCGGCACGGGCGGCGGCCCAAGGGCGATCCCCAAAAGCGAACAAAGATGCGGCACAACTGCGCCCTCAAGCAGAAAAAGCTGCGGCGCGGAGCGAGGGGCGAGGAGGACGAAGGCGAGGGCGAGAGCGAGGGCGATGTTGACTGGAGGAGGAGGAGGAGGAGGACGACGACGACGACGACGACGACATACGACGACGACGACGACGACGACGACGACGACGACGACGACGACGACGACGACGACGACGACGGCGACGGCGACGGCGACGGCGACGGCGACGGCGACGGCGACGGCGACGGCGACGCGACGGCGACGGCGACGACGACGACGACAAGAACGACGACTAGGACGAGACGACGGACGACACGATCGACGAGGACGACACGTATGACGAGACTACATACGCCGACGACGCCGACGACATACTACGACGACGACGACGACGACGACGACGACGACGAACACGACGACGACGACGGCGACCGACGGCGACGGCGACGGCGACGGCGACGGCGACGACACGCAGCTGCAGGGGAGGACGACGATTGGGGACAGAAGAGCAGAAGGACGAGGAGGAGTGGGAGGATGGCGAGCGGGGGGCCGAGGAGCAAGACGAGATGGACAAGGAGGACGAGTAGCGCGGCGCGGAAGGGGCGGGGGGGAGGCGGGAGGAGAGAGGCGGGGCGGAAAGGGGCGGGGGGGAGAGTGAGGACAGTGAAGTAGCGATAGGAGGGAAGGAATGCTTCTTCTCCTCCCCCCCGAACTCCCATTCTCTTCCTCCCCACCCCCATACTCCCATACTCCACTTCCCTCCTTCTGCTCCTCCTTCTGCTGCTCCTCCTCCGCCTCCTCCTCCAACTCCAACTCCAACTCCTCCTCATCCCCCTCCTCCTCCTCCTCCTTCTCCTCCTCCTCCACGTCCTCCTCCTCCTCCTCCTCCTCCTCCTCCTCCTCCTCCTCCTCCTCCCCCCTTTCCGCTGCGGAGGGGCTCTCCTGACGGCCATCACCACATCGGGAGAGGACAAAGCCCCCCTGGGGCAAAACACCCTTCATCTGTAGGGGTCTCCCAGACGGAGTCGGAGTATCTCGCCGCATCGGCAATGCATCGGCGAGGCATCGACAACGCATTGGCGACGTCGGCGATGCAGCGGCGACGTCCACGTGGAGGAGATCGGGTTCCACCTCGAGCCGCTTTGGCGATGCATCGGCGATGCGGCGCGATCCTCCGACCCCATCTGGGAGGCCTAGGATCTAGGGACTTCTGAAGCTTCTGGGAAGGCAAAGCCTAGAGAAGGGCAGTTCTTGGAGCGTTGAGTTTTAGCACTCGGAAGCATGGACGTCCCCAAGAAGAAACATGACAACCAATCAAGGGTGAAGTCGAGAACTCCTTCCCCTGCTCCCCATCATACTTCAATCAACTGCCTGGGGGAGGGGCGGTTGGGAAGGGTGTGCGAGAAGGGAGGACGAAGAAGAGAGAAGGACGCAAAGGCTCTGAAGCCTCCCCAGCTACCCAACATGGAAGACCAAGCACTACAGTGTGGAGGGGGCAACCATCGTGCCTGAGGCTGCGTCCCTCTATCACGGATTCCTTTCTTGCTTACCGAGGAAGCGTTTGCCAGCGTGGGTCCCGAACCAGCGACCCTTGCACTCTGGATGGGTCAGCTGTGGCGCGAGACGTGTGGTGCATGCGATGCGTTTGAAGACCTGCGGTGCGACCTATACCTGGGGGAGACGTGAGACTCGTGTACGGGGGACTCGGGTCGGCTTGACGGGGTCATCATGAAAATGACGAGGCCCGATCGGAAATTTGACGCGAGCTCCCGCTGTAAGCATCCCACGAACATCGGATTGTGAAAATGTATGACGCGCTCGTCAAAGAACGTCGGCAAGCCCGAGTTCCGGCTTACTCGAATCTTGCGCTTCCCCGATCTGTGGTGCGAGCTGTGCGGTGCAAGCTTTGCGGTGCACGCTGCACTGTGCAAGCGGTGCCATGCAAACCGTGCGGTGCAGGCTACGCGGTGCAAGCTGTGGGGTGCAGGCCCCAGCGGCGGCCACGGCTGGGCACCAGCCGAAAATCCTCAAATCACGACCAACGCACGGGGCGCCCACGAAGAAACCCGCGGCCGAGCACCAGGCGAAAACCCGGAAACCCTGTCCAATTACTGAATGAACGAATACGAAACCCTCAAGCACTGTTTAGTGGATGTCTTCTACGGTTTGAGGGCCTCGGGGTCCTCCTCCCCCTCCCCCTCCTCCTCCTCCTCCTCCTCCTCCTCCTCCTCCTCCTCCTCCTCCTCATCCTCCTCCTCCTCCTCCTCCTCCTCCTCCCTCCTCCTCCTCCTCCTCCTCCTCCTCCTCCTCCTCCTCCCCTCCTCCTCCCTCCCTCCATCTTCCTGCTTCCCTTCCTCGTCATCCTCCTCCTCCTCTTCCTCCTCCTCCTCCTCCTGCCCCTCCTCCTCCTCCCTCCGCACCCTTCTCCTCCTGCGACCTCCGTTCTGGAAACGCGTTTGTTCTCCGTTCTTGACGTTTCGCAGCTGTCTGACGCACTTCTTGAAGTGCTGGTGCCTACGCAACAGACGGCAGGGTGGGGGCAACGGGGGGACAGACGGCCTCAAGAGGCAGCCCCGACCGGCCCCAGGTGGGCCCCACCGAGCAGCCCACCGGCGGTCCCAGCACCCAGCGCCGCCTCGAGCGGCGACCTCGGAGAGCTCCGCGCCCCCAACTGTCCTGTGGGCCTGTGGAGGTCGGCCGGAGCGACCTCTTGGGGCCGCCTTGTCTGCTCGCAGCCCGAAGCCTTGCCAGAGGAGCGGGGCGGGGGCAGGGGCACGAGCAGTCAGCACGAGGTGTCAGCCATCCCCCTCCTCTCCCCGCCTTTTGCGCCTCCCTCTTTCTCCCTGCTCCCCCCCTGTTTTGGTTACGTTCTCTCCGCCTCCCTCTTCCTCCTCCGCCTCTTCTTTTCTCCGCTGCTCCTCCCCATTGTTCTCCTCCTCATCCTTCTCTCCCGCTCCCTGCTCTCCCCCTCGTCCTCCTCCTCCCCACCCTCTCTCTCTCTCTATCTCTCTCCTCCTCTCATCGTGCTTTTCTCTCCCTGCTGGTTCTTCTGTTTATTATTCTTATTATTATTATTATCCTCCTCCTCCTCCTCCTCCTCCTCCTCCTCCTCCTCCTCCTCCTCCTCCTCCTCCTCCTCCTCCATTAACAATTACTCAATATGAATATACTCTCCCTCTTCCCCTGATGGCGTCCGGGTGATAGCCGCGCATCCTCCGCGTACTGTTTTTTACACACAGGATGCCCGGAAAATCCCGGGAAACGACTCTCGCTGAGGCGCCGGCGTCATTTTTTCCCAAAATGCTGCTCTCGCGCCGGCGTCATTTTTTCCCAACATGCTGCTCTCGTTGAGGCGCCGGCCTCATTTCTGCTCCCGAATCCTTCCCCTGATGGCGTCCGAGTGATAGCCGCGCACCCTCCGCGTACTGTTTTTTTACACGCAGGATGCCCGGAAAATCCAGGAAACGACTCTCGCTGAGGCGCCGGCGTCATTTTTTCCCAAAATGCTGCTCTCGTTGAGGCGCCGGCCTCATTTCTGCTCCCGAATCGTTCCGAATCGTGCTCCCGCTGCAGCGTGGGCCTCATTTTCGGATCGGTGTTTGGCCTCCGTCGTTCAGGATGGCGTTCTCGCCCCAGCGCGGGCCTCTTTCTCGCGCGCCCATCCGCCCGCCACCGCACCGCGCACCACCACCACCACCACCACCACCACCACCACCAACACCACCACCACCACCACCACCACCACAACCACCACCAGCACCAGCACCAGTACCAACACCACCACCACCACCAACCAGCACCAGCACCACCACACCACACCACCACCACCACCATCACCACCACCACCACCACCACCCACCACAACCACCACCCAGCACCAGTACCAACACCACCACCCCAGCACCACCAGCACCACCACCAGCACCACACACCACCACCATCACCACCACCACCACCACCACCACCACCACCACCACACACCACCACGACAACCACGCACACACGCACGCACGCACGCACGTGCACCACCACCCACTACGCACGCGCGCGCGGAGCCACAGGTCCGCTACGACACGCGTCCGCGGATAGAGAAAATCAGCGCCATGGTAAGGGATGGGAGGGAGGGGTAGGACGTCAGATATGACGCGAGCGCACCTAGCTTGTCCTTCTTCCTCCTCCTCCTCCTCCTCCTCCTCCTCCTCCTCCTCCTTCCTCCTCCCTCCTCCTGCCTCCTCCTGCCTCCTCCCCCCCCGCAGCGCGCGTCAGGGGGGGCCGCCTGCCGGAAGGCGGCCGCATCCTGCGCCTCGGCCAGCTTCTGGCGCAGATGGCGCACCTCGGTGCGCCGTCGGACGTCGTCGAGGTCGTCGCCCCGCAGGAGGAACGAAGATCACCAATGCGGTCATGTGAGCGAGGCCACAGCCTCCAAATACCGTGTACACCGTGGTGTACAGTCAACCCGTGCAAGGCCGCACGTCAAAGATGCGAGGGCATTGGAAGGCAATGCCGTCAAGTCTGACAACGGCAACTCAGAATCGGTCCCCGGGCCCCTCCCGGGGACCCACCGTGCCAGCTTTCCGAGCTGCGCCCAGCCGCGACGAGGTGCGCCTCCCCGAGGCCCAACCACCGTTGTCTCGATTCGCCCGTCGCTGAATACTGCTTCTGTGGCAACTCATGGGAGCATCCCATACTATCTTGCTGGTTCTTGCGAATCGGCGCTCGTACACGCTAAATCGACGCTAAATCAACGCTATCCCATCGATTACCAGACGCTGATCGACGCTAATCAGCTCCAGAAGCGGAATTGCGAGGGTACTGTCCAGTCGGACCTAGGACAACATAACATCCTGCAAGAACGCGAGACCCTCCGCAGGCCAAACTGAAGAGCATTCGAGGGTGCCCTCCCCCAGGATGCACAAGAACATGCAACGAACACGAAAAACATTAGGGTACCCTCCCCGAACCGACCTCGACCTTATACCTCGGTCCGACTGCGTAGAAGGCTCCCACGATTTGCTACCGAAGAACACTTCGGCGACACCGAAGGGTGTGATTTGCAAAGGGTGTGATTTGCAACCTGGGAGGCGGGCGAGAACCTCGACGGCGTTCCCAGTCGCGCTTCGATGAGGCCCGACGAGGGCAACGTGGTGCCCCTCAAGCCCCAACTTTGGACGCCCGAGATGGGTACGGGGAAAGAAGGATACCCGTCAGTCGGATGAAGTGGGTAGAAACACTAAGTAGGAAAGCGTTGGAAGCAGATTGTGTTTCCGCTCGCCCCCTGAAGAGAAGAGGGAAGACGGACAACCGCTCGACTCTTGAAGTAGGAAGGTGCCAGAATTGTATCATATTGGGATCTACTGGATATCCAAAAGTACGTCGCACCCCGCAGTTGCGGATAGGATAAGAGTGAGGGGGCGGCGAGGACGTCGTCAGTCTGCGAGGCTCTGAAGAAGTCCGCCGCAGGCGGCTACCTGTTGTACAAATTATGCAGTGAGCTCGCCGCAGGCGCCGATTTCGTCGTTAAAACCATGTGGGTGGATCGCGGGGTGGGTCGCGGGTGGGTCGCGGGTGGGTCGCGGGCCGGGTCACGGGCGGGTCGCGGGTGGGTCGCGTATGGATCGCGGGTGGGTCGCGCGGGTGGTCGTCGCGGGTGGGGTCGAGGGTGGGTCGCGGAGTGGGTCGTTGGGTGGGGGGGTCGCGGGGTGGGTCGCGGGCCGGGTCGTATGGGTCGCGGGGATCGCGGGGTGGGTCGCGGGGTGGGTCGCGGGTGGGTCGCGGGGTGGGTCGCGGTGGGTCGCGGGGTGGGTCGCGGGGTGGGTCGCGGGGTGGGTCGCTGGGTGGGTCGCGGGTGGGTCGCGGGGTGAGTCGCGGGGTGGGTCGCGGGTGGGTCGCGGGGTGGGTCGCGGGCTGGGTCGCGTATGGATCGCAGGGTGGGTCGCGGGGTGGGTCACGCGGTAGGTCGCGGGTGGGTCGCGGGCGGGTCGCAGGGGGGACGACGACAACAACAAACAACAAGCATCAAACAACAAACAACAAGTAACAAACACCAAACAACAAACAACCACAACAACAACCACCCCCACAACAACAACAACAACAACAACAATAACAACAACAACACCAACAACAACAACAACAACAATTGCAACAACACTAGCAGCAGTAGCAGCAGCAGCAGCAACAACAACAACCACAACAGCAGCAACAACACCATCATCAACAGCCACAACAACAACAGCAACAACAACAACAACACGAACAACAACACGAACCACAACAACAGCAACAGCAACAACAACAACAACAACAACAACAGCAGCAGCAACAACAACACCACCAACACCACCAACAACACCAACAACAACAACAACAACAATCAGTTTACCCTCACGCGCGATGATTCCACACGAAGCATGCGATCATCATGATAATTATTCACATCATGGGGGACTCTTGTTCTATAGCGGGGTCCGTTATTCCCATTCCCAGATCTCCCGCCCAATGAGGTCTTGCAAACACCTCCTCCGAGGAATTTCAACATATGTCGCCTCGAAAACACATGACCGCGCCTTGCTGCGCCGATGCGAGACCGCCAGTGGAACCCCAGCGTAGGGTAAAGCAAAAGAACGTATCGAACGACAGGATTGCCTTGGTGGGGATGGGGGCTGTCGGCGGTGAGGCAATGACCTGGCCCTGAATAGCAAGGGAGGAAGTCTCGAGCAGGGCTGCTGTTGTTGCTGGGAGCGGCGCCAATGCTGAAGAGAGTAGGGCGCTAGTCCAGCGTAAAACAAAAAGAAGTCTCGAGCGGGAACGCTGGTTTTGTTGGGACGGCGGCTTTCGGCGGCGAGGAGGAACACCGCCTTGAGTAAGAAAGGAGGAAACATCGAGCGGGAGCCGTGGTTTTGTCGGGACGGGGGCTGTCGGCGGCGAGGAACAGCACCGTCCCGAGGAAAAAGAAAGGAAATCTCGAGCGGGAGCGTTGTTATTGCTGGGAGCGACGCCAATTCAAAAGAGAGTTGGGCACCAGCCCAGCTTAAAACGGAAGGAAGTCTCGAACGGGAACGCTGGTTTTGTCGGGGCGGCGGCTTTCGGCGGCGAGGAGGAGCACCGCCTTAGTAAAAAAGTGAAGAAGCCTCGAGCGGGAGCGTTGTTTTTGCTGGGGGCGGCGCCGATGAGAGAAAGACTAGCGCGCCAGTCCAGCGTAAAACGGGAGGAAGTCTCGAGCGGGAGCGCTGGTTTTGTCAGGACGGCGGCTTTCGGCGGCGAGCAACAACACCGTAAAAAAGGACAAGTCTCGAGCGGGAGCGTTGTTGTTGTTGGGGGGCTGGTTTTGGCGGTCCCCCAAACCGCTCGAGCGTGAGCCTCATTTTCAATGAAAATGTAGCCGGCGCCTCAGCGAGAGCGCCAAAGCGCCTACAAGGGGTCCAATAATAATCATTGTTCCGTAATTAACATTCAACAACAACAACAACACCAACAACAACAACAACAACAACAACAGCAACAACAGCAACAACAACAACAACAACAACAACAACAACACCAACAACAGCATCATCAACAACAGCAACAACAGCAACAACAGCAACAAGCAGCAACAACAACAAAAGCAGCACAACACCACCAACTACAACAACAATAACAACGACAACAACAACAGCAGCAACAGCAACAAGCAACAACAGTAATAACAACAACACCAACAACAGCAACAACAACAGCAGCAACAACAACAATAACAACACAAACAACAGCACCACCACTAACAACAACAGCCACAACAACAACACAACAACAACACCAAAACCACCACCAACAACAGCAGCAGCAACAACAACACCAACAACACCAACAACAGCAACAACAACGCAACAAACATAATCCTCACCACAGATCTTCACTTCAGCCACGCACCCAAGGACAATGAATAACCGTTCGGCCCCCTCACTCTGACCTACTTTCAACGACCGGCGGGTACGATGCCCAACAACACATATTGTCCAAAGCCGACAGCGGCCGCTGTTGGGCAGGCGGCCTTCTGTCTCAAATGGACAACGTCCGCGGCGACGCCTACAGCGAGTGCTGATCCAAAGTGAACAGGACATGCTGTCGATCTTCTTCGCACCCATGCTTTCCGTACCCATTTCGATCGCCCCGACCCACGGCGCAGATCGCAAACCGCACCCCAGCGTAACCCTACCCTTTGCAGGACAGCCCAGAACGGAATCGACAAGTCGGATCGGTGACCGAAATGAATCGGATCGGCGGAAATCGGCGGCCGAGTCGGGAGAAGTCGAATCGGCGGAAATCGGCAGGCCAGTATGCCTCCAGTAAGGAAGTGGAGTCCAAATCGGAATCCGAAGACGAATCGAATCGGAATCGGAGGCCATCGAAATCCAATCGAATCGAACCAGAGGAATCGAACCGAGCCCTGCCGTTGTTGTTGCCGAGCGCTGCCGCACAAGCCGCGCGCGCTCACAGAGGAAGCGTGCCGCACGGCCTCGCCTCCCCGGTGCTGCGCTCCAGCCCGGCCTGCGGCGCCGGGGCGCGCGCGCGCTGCCGCTGCCGCTGCCGGAGCTCTGCCCGAGGGGGAGGGTGGCCCGAAAAGGGCAGGACGAGGGGGGCGAGCAATGGCGTAAACGTAAAAACTCGGAGGTCCGCGCGGATTTCTCGGATCCGCGCTGGACCCCCCTGGCGGCGCCTCCGGCGCCGCTCCTGGCGCGCGGAGCGCGCCAGGGAGCTGCTCGTTCCCCTAAGGATTGCGTTCGGGAGCTTCTGCTTAGGGGGGGGACTGGCATTGGGGGGATGCATCGACCTGCAATCGGCGATACATCGCCGATAGATCAGCGATAGGCATCCGATAGTGAATCCGCACCTTCTTGGGCAGGTTGGGGCTACCGGGCCCCTATCGACGATCAGTGGGCGATTGGGGGTCGATGCATCCCCCCCTATGCCTACGAGGGGGAGGGTGGCCCGAGGAGAGCAGGATTAGGGGAACGAGCAATGACATAAACATAAAAACTCAGAGGTCTGTGCGGATTTCTCGGACCCCCCTCCCTGGCGCACGCGCCAGGGGCGGCGCCGGAGGCGCCGCCAGGGGGGTCCAGCGCGGATCCGAGAAATCCGCGCGGACCTCCGAGTTTTTATGTTTCTGTCATTGTTTCGTTCCCCTAAAGATTGCGGTCGGGAACTTCTGCTCAGCGTGTCGCCACGGCCGACCCGGCCGCCATCAAGGGGAACACCGCCTTCCAAGTGGTGGATGAGGGCCTGGCGGCGAGCCGGGACGTGGCGTACGGCCACGGGCTGCTGGACATCGCCAGCTTCTACGACTACGATCGGTTGGCTGCGCCTGGGACGCGCAGCGTTGCGGCCAAACTTCCCCGCCGAGGTGGTCGGACTGGCGCTGCTGCGGTGCATGGCGGCTCGGTGCTTGAGGAAGTCGGGCGCACACTTGGCCGCCTTCTCCACGACCAAATGGGTGGTCCAAAGTCCCATGCCGGGGACTCGTTGCGCCAAGGCGGTCGTTTCATCATACAATGCATCTCGACAGCGCAATTAGGGATGTCGCGCAGCTGTGGATCGACGACCTGAGCCGGCGCACACGAAGATCCCGAGGAGCAGTCCGCACTCGGCTTGCACAGTGCCCAGCTGCCACACTTGAAGCGATGGAGGCCGAAAGGATGAAGATATCATCCGAGAGCGCCGTGGCGCGCACGAGGCTGGCGGATGCCAAGGGTGCGCGCTGGGTCAAGCACAAGGGCTTCGCTCTACGGGTAATAGCCCGGGCACCATAACCTCGGAGGGGATCTCGGAGGAGGGCACAAGCTTGGACGCCCGAAATTGGCACAAAGTTACGGACAAAAATTGGTACATTGCCCAACAACTCATGTTGTCCAGAACTATCAGCGGCCGCTGTTGGGCAGGCGGCCTTCTCTCAAATGGACGCAGGCGGCGGCGACTCCGACAGCGAGTCCTATTCAAAACGAACAGGGGCTACTGCAGGTCTTTGCACCCATTCTTTCCGTACCCATGTTGGTCGCCCCGAGCAAGCACGCGAGAGCATGTCGGGCAGCCAGGATCGTCATGCAGAGGCGCACGCACGCCGAGGTGGTCGAGGACGCCGACCACGGCGCGCGGGCACCGCCTTCACGGCGAGGCTCGAGGAGCAACGGGGGGCGCGGGCGGCTGGGGCGTACGCTCGTCAACTGCACAGCGCGTTCGGCCGCAGGATGGCACAAGCAAGGCCTTTTGGGCCAGCAAACAGACCGCACCACCCCACCTACGGCCCCACGGGCCGTAGCGTATACCAGGGCATCTGGCGTGGTTTTTTGTCCGTGGTATCCGATGATGGGCCGTAGCGCAACATGGAGGGCCGTAGGTGGGGTGGTGTCGTTTGCTCTTTGGCCGATCTTTCTTATGCGATGCGGGCAGTCCTCGGTTGTCGGGCCAGTGCGTCACCAAACTTCTGGATTCCAAGGCGCAGCCCAACACTACGGATGCCACGTGAATGATGACTCCGTTTGTGGCTTCAGAGCTGGATCTCGCAACCAGCATTGAGATGTGGGGTCGAGCAAGCATGGCGGCTATTGCTGCATGAGATGCGCAGCATGCCGCCATATTGTCGAAGCCGGCACATACAAGGTCCACAGGGTGCCGTGGTCTGCTACCTTGTCCTGGATGAGAGCCTCAGGCAGGCACCAATCACATGGCAGGTCCCGTCCAGCGAGGTCGGCTGCATCAACACATGAGTTCAACGTGAATGCCCTCACTGAGCAGATGGAGCAGGACATCCCAATCATTTTCCCCAGGGCACAGGAGGCCGCAGTCTTGCAGAGGCAACGAGGCAGCTACTCATTTGGACGGCGAGGGTATGCAGGGAGGAGTGTGCAACATTTCTACAGTCGAGGTACTACCAGAAGGAACGCCAATGTTATAGAACAAAGGGGCTTTTCTGGCCACGGTGGGCCTAGGCCACAAGCAAATCCCGCGACATAAATCTAAGAAACGACCCAAATCCCCGAGCCCCTTCCGAACCCAAAGCGGTCCTTATTTCAGCGTCTTGGCTGTAACAGCGCCCTCCTCAAGCAGCCGAGCGGAGGGCCAGATGGCAGGCGTTTCTCGGGGCTACTGCTGTGGGTAGGGGCCAGAGCTGGAAGGCCCAGAGCACGCAGGTCAACCCGTTCCAAGCAATATTCAGACACGACGTGCGCACGATGCAAGGCGAAGGTCGAGACATCAGCCCACAAGTGCTTGAGTTGCACGGATCGCGAGCCGAACGAGATTTTCGAGCTATCTCACGGGTGCGTCTCCAAGGCAACGCTCAGCCTGAGTCAGAGCCGTGCTGCTAGATGCGAGTTCGGTGGCAACCCATGAGAACCTCCCTTACCATCTTGTTGGCTCTTGCGAATTGACGCTGGTAGACGCTAAACCGACGCTAAGTCGGCGCATCTCATCGATTGCCAGACGCTAATCAGCGCCTGTGCACTCCAAGGACGAAATTGGGACGGTACACAATGCTCCCATGATCTGCTACCAAACATGCCGTCGAACTGGGTCCAGCTGCCACCACCACAAGCTTATGCGGGCTGGTGGTGCTGCGCTGGCCATCGCTCGGACGTCCATTCCCTGTGCTTTTTTCGGTTTCGTGCGTGGTTTTTTTCGCAGGATGATCCAGGATGCTCCTCAATAATCCCCGCCGAGAAGTGCACACGTCCGAGCGATACCAAGTGCGGGCTCCACGAGTTCGGCGAGGGCCAGCTCGGGCACGGCACCGAGCGGAGCCCCTCGTACCTACTCGGCGACGCCGGCGGGGGCCAGTACAGCAGAGAGCCTCGCCTACGACGGGTAGGGGCTGGCATGCAGTCGGGCTGCTGAAACCAGTGACACGCGTGGCCACGGCTCCTACACTTGAAGGAGGGGGGAGGAGGAGGGGGAGGAGAGGAGGAGGAGGAGGAGGAGGAGGAGGAGGAGGAGGAGGAGGAGGAGGACGAGGAGGAGGACGAGGAAGAGGAGGAGGAGATGGAAGAGGAGGAGGAGGAGGTGGAGGAGGAGGAGGAGAAGGTGCTACGAGATGATTCAAGATGGCTCAAGAGAGCTCAAGAGGGTTAAAGGTGGCCCCCATCATGCCTCCAAGAACCCACAAGAGGGCCACACGACAGCCCCAAGTGCTTTCGGAGCACCCTCGGGACCCCCCCTCCCCAAGAGACCAAGAAGCCCAAATCCTCGAAACATCGAAAAAGTAATGATTTGTGCCTTGCCACTTTTTCGCTTCCAGTGGGCTTTTGGAGCCTCCAGGCTGGGCTGCCTGGAGGGGCCCAGGGGGCGGTTCCAGTGCCGTGCGTGCCGACAGAAAGTGGTCGGGGCGGAGGGGGCGCGCCCGACGGGGTGCGAGGGGAGGTGGGCTGGCCGGGGGAGGGGAAGCGGTGCCAGTGCCGTGCGTGCGTGCCGAAACGAAGTGGTCGGGGCGGAAGGGGCGCGCTGGCTGGGGCGCGAGCGTGAGCTGGCTGGGGGCGCGCTGGCAAGGGGGCGAAGGGGGAGCTGGGCTAGCTTGGGCGAGAGGCGCCGTGCCGGTGGCCGTGCGCGCGTGCCGACATGAAATCGGGGGGGGCGCTGGCTGGGGGGCGAGGGGAAGCTGGGCTGGCTGGGGAGGGGGGCTTGTGCCGGAGTCGTGCGTGCGTGCCGAATTAAGTGGTCGTGGCGGAGGGGGCGCGCCAGATGAGGGACGAAGGAGAGCTGGGCTGGCTGAGGGGGGGGGGGGGAGGCAGTGCAGGTGCCGTGCGTGCGTGCCGATATTAAATAATCGGGGCGGAGGGGGCGCGCTGGCTAGGGGGCGAGGGGGAGCTGGGCTGGCTGGATGGGAGGGTGGGGCGTGGTGTCGGTACTGCGCGCGCGTGCCGAAATAAAACGGTCGGAGCCCTAGACACCCTGTCCAAGGAACGAAACCTCTTTTTGGGCACCAGAAAATCCTGGGCGCGCGAGGAGGGCTTGAGGAACAGCCGCGGAATGGCACAAGGAACAGCGAGCCCCTTCCGGACCCAAAGCGGTCCTCATTTCAGCGTCTTGGCGGTGCCAGTCTATCAGGAGCTGTGCGACCCTGTGGTGCTGGTGGGGCCTGCCTGGCCAGAGGCAGGCGGCGGCGAGAGGCAGGCCGTGCGCGCTGCCGACCGCCCTGGGTGGAGCGACTGGCCACGTCGACTGCACGGCGGACAGCGCGGCAGTCTGCACCGGCTGGTATACATGGGCAAGGCCTCCTCGCCCGACGGCGAGAACGCTGACCTGTGGCTGGCCGTCAGGCTGCTGCAACGGCGTCAGGACTTGCAGTGCACAGTTCTTGCCGAAAGTTGATCCTCCGCGGAAAGAAGAAAAGAACTCCGGCCGGGGGTTTGGGGGGTTCAAGCGCGAGTTGCGGGGGCGATCATTTGGTTCACTGTCCTCAAGATGCCGTGGACATCTTGCAGTGTGCGTCGCCACGGTTCCTCGTTATTGGCAACACATCTGCAGACAATCTTGCCACGGAGGCGGCACATCCAGTCAGAGTCAATGGGGGCGATCGAGCCCACATTGCCCAGGTTGCAAAAATGGCTTATCGCGTGCACAGGCGTATCTTGCTGACAACTCGTCGGAAGTTGAAAACAAGCAAGCTTTTCCTTTCGGGAGTCTGAATTTGAGCCCGCGTCAGGCACCCTGGAGCTAGGCCACCTGGTCCTACGATTTGTCAGGTGTTTCCCCCCCCAGCATTGCCTCTCTGAGAAAGCTAGTTTCTGTGAGCAATGTGAAGGGTCGACCTCCCATGCAGCTCGTCAGGCCGGCCTGGACTTACCTTGCTTCAACTTGCGGTCAATTGATGGCACACTTTTTGAACTCCCCCTGGGCGTCGGGTGCACAAGTGGGGGATGGGCTGATGACAGCCAGCACCTGAAGTTTCACGCTTGGTTTAGGATTTGGTGTTCCAGCTCTTCGGGGAGTTTCGTAGCTCATCATCTGGCTAAATTCGGAAGCAAATGTGTTTGCTGCCACTGGTAATCATACGGATTATCTCTTTTGAGTCTCGAAAGGGGTCTGGCCTAAAACTTCCAGCAAAGCCGAGAAGGCCAAGCATCAAAAACTGTAGGCCCATATCGTAATCGACACGTTCGCAATACCCGTAACTCCGTAACCCCTCCTCGGAAATCCCACCAGCCCTTTAGGGCGTAACTGGTTTAGCGGGTTGCCTCTTCCACCCCCCTTCTTACCCTTCGGGGACAGGCTTTATTACTGTTCCCTAATAAACACCCCCTCCCCCAGGCGAGCAGCCAATCCAGACCAATGGGCACCTCCCACCCACCTCCCCTTGTACAAAAAACAATACAAAACGCACTTTGCCTCCAAATCTGGCGCATGCGCGGGCGCCCCCCGCGACCACTTTGCATGAGTTTTTGACAGGGAAGGCGGGGATGCCAGCATATTGCTTGCTGCGCGAAGGCCAGCCACCCCTGTCAACGAAACAATACAACAATGCACTTTGGCTCCAAATCTGGAGCATGCGTAGGGCCTTTTTTCTCTGAGCTCTCATCTGCTTCTCAACTCCTCAAGTTGTCTCAAATTATCCATCGGTGCCAATGCTTTGCGCTCACTCCCTGGAAGGGACGCCCGTCTCACATAATGCTCGGCACTGCGCTTCAGGGGGATTCAAGATCCTGAACTCCTTGGGGCCAGAGCCCCAGGCACCTGGAGTCTCGATTTGTTCGCCGTAGCTAGCGCAACTGGCGCGGCTAGAGCACGTGACACAGTTGGCGCATGTGGAGCATGTGCCGCTGGCTCGCTTGGACCTCCAGGGTGCCTGGTGCACCTGGAACCCGTGGCGCGCATGGCATGTGTGGCGTTCCAGAGCAAACTGATGACACTCCTGTGTTACTTATGTGTTGGGAGGGCGGGTGGGAGTGAGCTAGACGGCCTGCTACCTACTACCCTCGTCAAAATCAACCTCAAAAATGACGACCACGCCCCTGCGATGTCGGCGCGCCCTTCAATGTCGATATATGCCCCTCCAATGTCGGGGCCAAGGCAAAAGTGGTCTGACCTGGAACGACTCGGAAGTTCGATGATGACCGACATTGGAGGGGCGGCGCATACAAGTACCTCGCAGTCACCACAACTCTGCCCAGTATCTCCCCACAAACAGTTCAGGAAAACATTTTTGAGGTTCAGTTTGACGAGGGTTGTACAGTCGGGGTGCTGACCTAAGGAACCCTAGATAAGGAACGAGGCCCCTTTTTCCCAAAAGTTGATCTTCGATTCCCCGTGGAAAACCTTCGGGAAACCTAAGGCACACTGCACAGCAGTCAAGGAACGCCGAGCCCCTCCCCAACGAGAAGGGTTCCTTCCTCAGCGCCCCGACTGTAGGAGGGTAGCTTGGCCCTCCCCCTGGCCCCCCCTCCCTGGGCCTGGGCATGGGGGGTTTCGCGGGTCGTTGGAGCGTCCAAGGTGGCCTCGGCGAGAAGGCACAGATCGTCGATTCTGCTTCGGTCTCGGGCCCATTGTGGCCTCCTGGGTGGGGGGCCCCGATTGGGGCCCTCCCTTCTCAGATCGATTACCTCCAAGATGGACCCAAGCTGGCGCCCGAGGCTCCTAAAGGGGGCCCCAAGAGGCGCCCAGGAGGCCACGAGAGGCCCCCAAGATGCCAACAAGATGCCCTCCAAGAGGCTCCCAAGACACCCCCAAGAGGCCACCCCGAGGCACCCAAGACGCTTCAAGAGGCCTCCGGAACCGCCAAGAGGCCCCCAAGACGCCCCAACAGGCCTACCAGGAGCTCTCGAGAGACGTCCGAAGAGACTCCGAGAAGCATCCAAGAGGCCTGTTGCCTTTCTGTTCGCCTTCCTCCTCTTGCTCTTTCCCTCCTCCCCCTCCCCCTCTCCCTCCCCCTCCCCCTCCCCCTCCTCCTCCCCCTCCCCCTCCTCCCCCTCCTCCTCCTTCTACTCCTCCTATTCCTCCTCCTCCTCCTCCTCCTCCTCCTCCTCCCTCCCTCCTCTCCTCCTCCTCCTCCTCCTCCTCCTCCTCCTCCTCTCCTCCTCCTCCTCCTCCTCCCTCCTCCTCCTCTCCTCCTCCTCCCTCCTCCTCCTCCTCCTCCTCCTCCTCCTCCTCCTCCTCCTCCTCCTCTTCCTCCTCCTCCTTCTCTTGGGGTATGACAGCTTCCTAGCCTTTCTTCCACTGCGTGCTCCCCCACATGCCTGATCAGGGCAAGTCGCCTGGGCCTCGTTTCTGGATGGGCTGGTGGGGTTACGCGAAACGACTAGAAAGACCAATCACTCCCATCAAATTTTCAAGAGGTTCCCGGAAGCTTCGTTTCCGGAAGCTTCCCAAGGTGTGTGGAGGGGGGAGAGGGGAGGATGAATCAAATTCGAGGTGGCTCTGGGATCCTGGGGACATCTGTGGCCCCTCCCTGCAGCTGAGCTCGACGACAGCTTCCAAGCAGCGGCCATGATGCCACGATTCACCCTCTGTGGGCCGCATTGTGGACACGAACCTCCGTCCTCCCTTCGCACCCGGTCTCCCGCAATCGCTCGGACGTCCATTCCTTGTGCATTGTTCGGCTTCGCGCGTGTAAATGTTTCGCAAGGTGATCCCGAAGGCTCCCCCGTGGCCCTCGCCGAGAAAACTGCACACGTCCGAGCGATGCCATGATCTTCGCGGAAGCACAGCACGACAGGCGCTGGTTGCCACACTTCGGGCCCTGGGGCCTCGCGGATCGATGCGGCTCGAGAGAGACCCGCGCGCGCGTGCGAAGACGGCCTCGAGAGCCCCAGCTGCGCTTTGTCATGACCCGTGCTTCGTCCATGGCGTTTGATGCCAGGGGTCCTGCGTGCCTGCCGGTCAATCGCATCACGCACACCATGCTAGGATACCCGAGCGTGCACCACGCTGCGCACGCATTCGCGGCCCCGTGAGCTCGTCCAGCTCGAAAGTGCGATTCACTGGTGAAGTTCCCACTGGAACACGCATCTCAAGTGCTATGTACGGATTGCCAGCAAGCTGTGATATGACATGATATGACACGTACTTTGTGAACCGATACGCTGGCGCCATGCCGAGAAAAGAAATGAACGATGAAAATGCATGCGCAAGGGTGCCTTCAGGTGATTCTGCTGGGCTCTGGATTCTGTCAACGCTCGCTCAGCAGCCTGGCGGGACAGACGGCAGCATGATGAAGGAAGCCAGTGGCTGAACAGACGACATAGTATAGCAAATCACTCAAGGCATGTGCGCATGTCTGCTTCCATGCGCCTCCTGCCGCCGATCGCCAACCCATCACATGGCTGCTGCCGGTCCACATCGACGGTGCACAACTGCCGCGCTTTCCCACCCGCTCTGGTCGTGCGTCCGCTGATCAGCACACCGAAGAGTTGTCGTGACATAGCCGCGTCCCCGGTGCGCGACAGCGCTCGGATCGCGCAAGTAGTACAACTTGCTCCGCCGGGCGGCACTTGCAGATCCATGCTCGACGGCTTAAGCCACGGAGAGTCGACTGGCCCCTCGTCCTCCCTCGCCCTCCCTCGCTCTCCCTCGTCCTCCCTCGTCCTCCCTCGTCCTCCCTCGTCCTCCCTCGTCCTCCCTCATCCTTCCTTCGTCCTTCCTCGTCCTCCCTCGTCCCCCCTCGTCCACCCTCGTCCTCCCTCGTCCCCCCTCGTCCCCCCTCGATCTCCCTCGTCCTCCCTCGTCCTCCCTCGATCTGCCCCCCCTCTCCTTAGGCCAGCTGGCTCGAGCGCGGAGCTCGGGGCCAGCCGGGCGCCACGGGCGCTGTCACGCTGCACGGGCGTCGCAGCCCCTCCCTGAGGCGGCCATGGCGGCCCGCACGGGCCGGGGTTGGAGCCAAATCCTCTCAACATCGGTCCAAGAATCGTAAGTCGAACACTTGAGCTGTTTCACTCCTTTTTGTCGTTTCTGCACACGAGAGCTCAAGATTATCGCGATTGGCCCCCCTCCCGGGCCCATCTGGTGCAGCTTTTCGCCCCGGGTCCGTTTCTGGCGGTCCCGGGCCCGAAGGCAGCCCCCCCGGAGGCCGAAAAGGGCGAACGACACAGGAGCTTTCCCGAGCCCAGCGCCTCGTATATCACTCGCCCCCCTCCCTGGTGGCCAGAATCAGTACTGAGACACCTCGGACCCCCAGCCGGCTCTAAGCCGCAGCCCCCTCCCTCACTCCTCCCCTCGCAGTTCCAGCACCAGCCCAGCCAGCGTGGAGGGGGCCGCAGCCGCGCCGCCGAGGCATCTGCCAGACCGGGCGCGCGGCAGCCCCGCGCCGAGGGGGACGAGCTGCAGAGAGGGCTGCCTGCTGCTTTCGCGGCGCTCGGCAGCGACCGCACTGCCAGCCCACCCCGCTGGGCGCAGCCCTGCCAGAGGCCCTCAGAGCTCTGCCTGAGGGGCAAACGATTGGGAGGGACTGGCTCAGGGGGAGGAACATCGACCTGGAATCGGCGACGCATCGCCGATCGATCGGAGATACAGTAGGGGCTCGACCACAAGAAACCTTCCACAAGAAACCCAACCCTGAGACCCCAGAGCGTCCCTTGGTTTTTGGTGTGGGGACGTCGCGCATTCCATCGCAAAACCATCAAAACCCAAGAAACCCAGGGCACCCTGGAGGCAGGCAGGGTGTTTCTTTGGCATGGGCCTCCCCTGTCAGCCCCAGGCGGCGAATCCGCACGTTCCTGGGCGGTGGGGCTATCAGACCTTTACCGGTGGTCGGTGAGCGGTCGGGGGTCGACGCACCCCCCCCTGAGCCTGTTCCCCCCCCTACAGTAAGGGCCCGACCACAAGAAACCTTCCCTTGCCGTCGCTCGGACGTCCATTTCCCGTGCATTTTTCGGTTTCGTGCGTGCTTTTTTGTTCGATGGTCCAGGATGGTCCTCGATGCTTCTCGCCGCGAAAAAATGCACACGTTCGAGCGATGCCAAGTTCCATGAAACAAACAACAACCCAACCCTGAGACCCCAGGACGTCCACTGATTTTTTTTTTTTTGTGTGTGTGTGTGTGTGGGGGGAACGTCACGGCTTGCAGGGCAGAACCATCGAGACCCGGGAAACCCAGGGCACCCTGGAGGCAAGCAGGGTGCTTCCTGGCATGGGTCTCCACTGCACCGCTGCCCCTGCTACCCCGCGGGCCGGGCCCGCCGGAGGCCGCTGGCGCCAGGCACCAGGCGAAGGCCGAGCCAACTCTCGAGGAACTGGCCATCGCTCGGACGTCCAGTCCCTGTGCTTTTTTCGGCTTCGTGCGTGTTTTTTTTTCGCAGGATGATCCTAGTCATTATCCCCGCCGAGGAAAAGTGCACACGTCCGAGCAACACCAAGGGAAGAGGCGGGCGGCCGCGCCGCGGCGGCGCTGGCGGCGGCCTCGGCGCTGCGCACAAGCGCCGCCTGGCCGAGCACGAGAGACTCGACCGCGCCCGAGGCGGCGGGCCCGGCGCAGGCGCAGCAGCGCAGGGACAGGCGATCGGCACTCTGTCCGTGGCCCTGCTCGCGCCCCGAGCCCACGAGGAGCCAGTGCGGGGATGCGGATACAAGTTCCGAGCCTCCGGGGCCACGCTTTTGGATCCATGCCGCGCTTCTCCTGGCGCCAAGAGTGGGGGGCAGCAGCAAGGGTACGGACCGTCGCAGGGAGGCCGAGCGCCTGGCGGAGTTTTCCAGCAAGGCGCCCGTAGAGGCGCAGTCGAAGGCGGAGCGCACGCACGCATCAGCCGCAGACGGAGCGGAGACAGAGCGCACGGAGACGGCTGAGAAAACAGAGGCGAAGCACGAGGACGGCGAGAAGGCGACAGAGGCAGAGGCGGGCGAGGCGACCCATCACAAGGCGAAGCGCGAGGGCGCCACGGCTGAGAGCACTGCAAGACGGCGGCCGCGCCGAGCAGCGCCGCGGGCGAATGCGCAGACCCACCGCGCACGGGCTTCCGCGCCGAGAGGCGGCGAGACGCAGGAGCTGCAGCAGGGCAGCGGCTGCAGGCAGAGCGGGCGCAGGCCGAACCTCGCCATCGCTCGGACGTCCATTCCCCGTACATTTTTTGGTTTCGTGCGTGTTTTCTTCGCAAGATGAGCCAAGCTGCTCTTCGATGGTCCTCGCCGAGAAGAACATGCACACGTCCGAGCGATGCCACGCTGGAGGAGGCACGGCGACTGGCTGGAGACGGCGCGCCTGGCCGGAGACGGCGGGCGGAAGCGCGGCCCACGACGCCGCGGCGCGGCCGGGCGGGAAGCACGCCGGAGGGCGGAAGCAGAGCGCCAGGCGGCCGCTGGGGCCGAGGCACTGGCACCGGAGGAGGAGGAGGTCGAGGAGGAGGAGGAGGAGGAGGAGGAGGAGGAGGAGGAGGAGGAGAAGGTCGAGAAGGTGGTCGAGGAGGAGGTCGAGGAGGAGGAGGTCGAGGAGGAGGAGGTCGAGGAGGTGGTCGAGGAGGAGGTCGAGGAGGAGGAGGAGGTCGAGGAGGAGGAGGAGGAGGAGGAGGAGGAGGAGGAGGAGGTCGAGGAGGTCGAGGAGGCAGGCGCGGGAGGGCGAGGCGCCCGGTCCTGCCACACCCGGAGGACGAGCCCAAGCGCGCGGCAGAATTGACCGCCGGCCAGCGCCAAGCTCGAAAGAGCGGAGGCTGGGGGTGCTGTCCGCCTCGAAAGGGCTGGGGCGGTGGGCCGCGGCGCTGTCGCGAGCTCGGCGCGGCCACCACCCGCCCCTGGCAGTAGACCACAGAGGAGAAAACATCATCTGGGACCTCTCATCAGACCATAGAAATAATAATAATAATACTACTGCTATAATAATACTACTACTAATAATACTAATACTAATAATAATAAGAATAAAATAATAATAATAATAATAATAATACTAATAAGAATAAGAATAATAATACTACTACTAATAATAATACTAATAATAATAATCCAGACGCTACTAATAATAATAGTAGTAGTAGTAATAATAATACCAATAAAATAATGATAGATAATAATAATCATAATAATAATAATAATAACAACTTCACGAGGCCCTACGATCCGACCACAGTGGGAAATCATTCGGGGGGCCCTAAACTTTGACTGCAAAAACAGCTACCGCAGATGGCCGACCAAAGGGCCACAAAGTGGGCCTGACAGGGTGGGCCTAACTTGGGTTGGACTCTGTCGGGCGGGGCCCTATCATCTGACCGCAGATCTGGAACTCCTCCAAGGGGCCGGAAGGCCAGGAGCCGCTACCCAGGCTAATACGTTACAGAATGATGCCACCGCGTGGACCCTAAACCATAGTTTCTTCCAATCCCGATGTAAAAGCTATGCGGCGCACGCCATAGGGCATCAACCATGAGGCACCAAGTGCGATCGGCCGACTGCGAATATCGAGGTCAGTTCCTTAGCAGAAGCATTGCCCCCTGAAGACAAGCAATGTTTGGGGAATAGTTCCTTAGTGCAACCTCTTCTTCGGGAACATCTGGTTGACATTCAAACACCACTCAAAGCGTGAGACGAGCAGAGATGGCCCTGGCCGATGTAGAGGCATGCGCGCGCATCCTTAGAGCGGTCGATGTCTAGGCCACGGGTGCTGATAGCATAACCCCCATGCTTCCTCGTGCATGTGCATGTGTATATATGGTGGCGGCCCCCCCCCGAGACCAACCTCAGGGGGGCCACCATCATGGCATTCCAGTTCGCCGCAGGTCGCAATTCGGCGGCACAGCGGTTCAAAAAAAACAGATTTCGCCAGGGGCTCTTTTTTTATGTTTTAATGGTTTAAGCAGATTTTTAAAACTTCCAGGGCCTCACTGGGCCAACCCCCGTGTATTCCAGTTCGCCCTCAGGGGACCTCTGTTTTTTTTTCTACAAAAAACCATATATAATAATAATAGTAATAATAAGAATAATAATATTAATCATAATACTAATAATGATAATAATGATAATAATAATAATGATGATAATGATAATAATAATCATAATAATAATAAATCACAAAAAAAAAGAGACCCTAGCGAAATCGCAATTCGGCGGCACAGCGGTTCAAAAAAACAGATTTCGCCAGGGACTCTTTTTTTTTGAAAATAAAGGAAAAATGGTTTTGATTTTTTTTGTTGAAATTCCAAGGCCTCTCTGGGCCCACCCCCGTGTATTCCGGTTCGCCCTCAGGGGACCTCAGGGAAATTAAAAAATATTTAAAAACAATTAAATCTAGTCCTTCGCGAAATTGCAATTCGGCGGCACAGCGGCTCAAAAAAACAGATTTCGCTAAGGACTCTGTTTATATATGTATATATATATACAGATATAAACAAAAAACTGGGCCTCACTGGGCCCACCACCGTGTATTCCAGTTCGCCCTCAGGGGACTTCTGGGGCAACAGTTCAATAAGACATGTATATCTGGGGGGGTGTTTCAGTTTCTTGAGAAAACGCAAGGAAAAGTCTGGACCTATCTGGGGTTGGTCGTTCCCCTTGCTCTTTATGATCTCCTCTTCCTCCTCCCCTGCTTTCTCCTGACGCCAAGTCCGGTGTCTCCTGCTGCTGGCTTTGTCTCTCTTCCTCCTCCATATTCCTCTTCTTCTCCCCCCCTCTTGCCTCCTCAACGCAATGGTTGACGATATCACACGAGTGATGTAAGTGAGAGCTAATTTTGCAGGCGATCTGTGGTGAGCGTTCGCGGGGCTCGCACACTTGTCAGCCTGACCTCGGCAAAAACAGCTATGGTACAGCACTCCCTCTTGCCAGCACGCGCGCGCAGGAGCGTAGAGGGGAGGGGAAGGAAATATACCTTCTGACCTACCGTTCCACATCGCGGAGGCTGCGTCGGCACTTGCAACGGAATTCCGATGAATTGCCATGCTATGCTATGCTATCCCCGATGAGCATTCCCTTGTATGCTATGTGGTGCCATTGAGTTGTATTGAGATGTATTGCACTGCGTTGCGAAGCAATGTGTTGCGTCGGGTCGTTTCGATGCATGGTATTGCATTGCACTGTACAGTATTACATTGAATTGCGTTGTGTCGAAAACAGGTCTGGGAGGACCATGGTTGAAAACAGGCCTGGGCGGACCATCGTGTAGAACAAAGCATGTTGGAGGCCAGCTTCAGCAATCTTGAAGATCCCCTCCGTGTAAACAGACCTGGGAGGACCATCGTCGAAAAGAGGCCTGGGAGGACCATCGTTGAAAAGAGGCCTGGCAGTAACAACACAGTGAGGCGTGAGACCTCGAAGTAAAAATGCGATATGGCCACCACTGTGTTGCTACTGGGTACAAAAGAGGCGGAGGAGGAGGAGGAGGGGGAACATGATGACCATGAGAAATTGCACTCGGGAGCTGCCTTCCGACCCAGTAGCAACACAGGGGGGACCAACCATCGGATACGCTACGCCACCCTCGGATTCGGTCCATTGGAGGCCCGTTCAAGGTGCGCGGGCACCTCACCAACTTGCAGCTTGTGCACGTTCTGCGCGCCTTGGACAAGAAGAAGAAGAAGCCATAGGGTTCCAGCGCAACCGTCCTGACACTTGGCATGGCCGGAGAACGGTACGAGATGTTGAAGTACGACGAGTCCAGCGTGCGTTCCTGTTACGACTCGTTCTCAGGCATGAGGGACTCGCTGATGCATTGCTATCGGCACCCTCCGTCAACGCTCCCTCAGTACAAAGCGCTGGAAGAAAAGAGACTGACAGGCTTCAACGAGAACCGCACTCCCAAGTTGCAGACCCATCGGACATCTAAGGGCGATGATCCTTATAATGGGTATTGGAACGCCCGCGTGCACTTGTGGGCGCTCAAGCCAGCGTCGCTGCAGCGAAACGCGTCGGTGACATTCAGCATGCTCCCGCTCCCAGACAAAGGCAGGCTCCTCGATCAGCTGCATGCCAGCGTCGGCACGGACAATGTGCAGGAGGCGTGTGCAAAACTGTCGTACTCTGGCAAATGGGAAGAAATTCCAATGATATTGTGTCTCGGCACGGGCAAGCAGTACCAGGCCGTGGAAGAGGACCCCGCCGACGACGAGCCTGACGGGAGACCGATGGCGCCCCGTGCTGCGCGCGGCGGACACGCCGCGAGGGTCGCAGTGGCGTGGTCGAACTGCTACGAGACCTGCTACATGAGGCGGTGCCGTAGCTGCGGCGAGGACAGACTCGCGTACAAAAGCCTCGACCTTGCCGACGCTGCAGACGGACAGGTCTGCGCGTACTGCAAGGAGTACGGCCACCCAGACAAGGAGCATGGCATCGTGCATCCCAGCGGTCCAGCGCGGACATCCCAGACACCTGATCAGCTGGTGTCCAGGATTCCTACGGGCAGCGGCCGCCTGCGTAAGTGCGGGCGGTGCGGCTACGCCACGCTGCGGTACGGACGGGGATCCTGCCGGCTTATCAAGCGGTTCTGCATAGTGTGCAATTCGAAGCAATTGCCACGCATCAAGACGTGCCCGTGCTGCGGCGCTTGACCGTCTGCAGCGCCAATCGGCCAGCAGGCGGGGGCCATGGCCAGCGAGCGTCGCAACGCCATGCTGCCCTAGTGGCGTGGTTTGGGTTGCCGCGCATGGATACTCAACGCATGGACGGGGCACGTTATCGTAACGCTACAGGACGTATCGCATCTGAGAAAAAGAACGGTGCCGAGGCAGCAGCAACGCGCGTAAAATAGGCGGTGCTAGATGTCGTGCGCTGCGTTGCATTGCGTTGTGTGGTGTCGCATTGTATGGCATTGCGTTGGATTTGTATTGCCGAAGACAGAGGAGGAGACAGGGAGAGGATGAAACTGGGTAGTGGGAAGAGAAGGGGGAAGGTGATATCTGAGTAGGAGGGGGGGTAGAGGAGGGGCGGTGGAGGAGGAGGAGGAGGATGCGGGAGAAGGCCTGGGAGGAGGAGGCGGGAGGAGGAGGGACTGCAACGCCAGCGGCGAGCAGCTCCGAGGACCGCGGCCCGACCCAGTAGCAACACAGCGGGCGCTGTCACCCGAGGAGGTGTGGGAAGATACCGAGGACGGAGGAGGATGCAGGAAGAGGATGAGACAGAGTAGTAGACATGGGAGGGATGTGGGAGGAGAGGAGGAGGAGGTGGAGGAGGAGGAGGAGGAGGACGACGACGAGGAGGATGCGGAGGGGCAGGAGGAGGAGGAGGAGGAGGAGGTGGAGGAGGAGGAGGAGGAGAAGGAGGATGCGGGAGGAGGCGGCGGCGGAGGAGGCACTGCAACGCTATCGTCGAGCAGCGGCGAAGACGGCCGAAAGGTTGGTCTCGGGGGGGGGGGCGCGAGCGTATATATATACATATATATACATATTTACATATATTTATATATACATATGGTTTGTGTATATCTATGTGCGTAATCATATACACAGACATGCTATACATATATGGATTGTACATGTATGGTGCGTGCATCTGTGTGTGTGTGCATGTATCCGCCACCGTGCCGCTAGGCACCGAGTGCAGTGTGCTCAGGACCCCTTCAGAGCCCTGCGCTGATATATATATATATATATATATATATATATATATAAAACAAATAAAGAGAACAGCTGCTCTTCCAGAAGGGGCCCACGGCCCCGCATTTCGGGCGCTCTTTGCGCGCTCTCGGGGCACGTCGCGGCACCCGGCGAGAGCCCTCTGGGGGCCAAGGGCACAGCCGGACCCAGGACAACGGAACCTCCTTCAAGAGCATGAGACCCTCCGCTCGCCAAGCTGAAGAACGCTCGAGGGTACCCTGCTCCAGGATGCACCAGACTATCCAACAGGCACGAAGAGCATCAGGGTAGCCTCCCCGAACCGACCTCGATCTTATACCTCGGCCCGACCGTGGTGCAAAACCGATCCCCACAGAAGGGACGACCCGGGTGGACCCCGCCGACTCTAACAAACAACTGCATGCTGCGGCTGGCAGGCTTAAGCGGCACGGCGACTGCTCGCCTGGCAGCTGGCCACCTGCTTGGCGAAGCGGGAGCGGAGCAGGTTGCACTCCATCTCAAGGCCCTCGGGGGTAAGAGATGCAGACGAAGCGTCGAGGCCTGTTGTATCATCCCTCTTCCCCTCTTGCAATTCCTCGAGCACCTTCTCTCCACCGTGCAGTGCTGCGCGCGACAAAGCCTCGAAAAGGCCTCGCCTCTGACTCGTGGGAAAGCATGCGGCACACTGCCTCCAGAAGCAAATAGCTAGGGAGAAGGAGAAGAAAGGAGGGGAGGTGCCGAATGGTGCCGACGCTTCCTGGAGATTTCAGGGGTTCCCTGGGGTTATGGAGGGCTCTGGGAAACCTTGAGGCGGTCCTGGAGGTCGAGAGGAGCAAGAAGACTGATCCGAACACGTTCCTCTGCGACTGCTTTGGAGCCGCCTCCCACCCAACTCCCGCTCTCACTTCGATTCGCTCCCAATCTTGTCTCTCGGAATCCTGATTGGGCTGCTCCCTCTGCTGGTTCCGCTCGTGTCTCGCCTCCGCGCTTCGTTCGTGTCCGCCCGCCTGCACTCGCAAAATAGCCCGCCTGGAAAGAGGCCCATGCATGCGCTGGTGGGGACGTGTGATGTGCAAGGAACCTGCCGCATCCGAGACGAAGCGTGGTGAGAGCGTGCCTCGGGCGAGGTCTGGGGGAACTGCCTTCAATGCCTTCTGGATGCTCAGGCCTTAGCTTTGCATGACCGCGAGCATCATGCCTCAAGAAGTGCAAACCCCAACCCAAACTAAACCATGTCAATGAACACAATAATCGCACTGCCTCTAAAATCGTGAACTGGAAAAGATGACAGCACAACAAGGGGGGTGGTACGAGCTCGTCTGCCGCGGCGTGCTCCCGCCAGGGTGCGTCCGCGCCACCGGCGCATCAATCGCCCGCGTGCACCACAGTCCCTGCGTACACGGCAATGCCCAATGCCTGCATGCAAGACGCTGCCGCCTGTGTACACCGCAGTGCTTCCCTACACCACAACAGCCGCGCGCTCCGCAGCACCACGTCGGAAGAGAGGCAGAAGGCAGGAGAAAGGAAGAGGAGAAGGAGGAGGAGGACGAGGAGGAGGAGGAGGAGGAGGAGGAGGAGGGGGACGAGGAGGATGAGGAGGAGGAGGAGGAGGAGAGGAGGAGGATATGGGCGGGCCTGCGGGACCCGGCCCGCGCCTATCATGATATATCAGCAGCCTGCCCGCCGGCTGACTTCCCCTGCGGGGCCCCAGAAACGTGCGCTGCCAGCGCACGCCTCCTGCCCCCTCCTGCCCCTCCCGCCCCCCCCCCACCGACCGAGCCTCACCCCAAGCCCCCAAGGGCACGGCAGCCACACAGGAGGAGAAACTTTGATCCAAGGAATCCAGGGGCGCAGCTTCCCCGACCTCTGAACTTCTGAAGGCGCCCTTGGACTTCATCGGGGCCCTCAGGGCCACCGAATGTGGGGGGGAACGAAAAGATAGCGATAATTACCGCCGCTCCCCGGACCTCGCCATGACCAGAATGACGAGGCGAATCCAGCCGTGGTGACGAGGGCTCTCCAAGACGAGCAGCGGTATTGGCACCTTTCCCGCTCCTGAGAATTCCGCGGGGCATTCAGTGGCAGCCGCAGGCCGCCCCGCACGCTGCTGGCCACCCGCCGCGCCTGGCGGCCCTGGGCCCCCGAGGAGTCGCCTACACGCAGGAGTGACCCAAGCAAGAGTGGCCTCTGGTGCGCGGACCGCGAGGGGGGTCCACGCCCGAGCGCGCTGCCATCGCACCGCGCTGAGCGACCGGGGCCCCCCCCGCGTGGACAGGCACCAGAGGTCACTCCAGCGTGCAGGGCCGCTCTCGCGTGCAGCCGAAGGAGGGGCGCCGCCGTGGGTGGGAAAAACACGCAGCGTCTGCGTTTTGGTTCCACCGACGTCTGTGTTTGTGTCCACGGGCTCTGTGCTTTCCCCCAGCGATCGGAGCACCCCCGTGGGCCCGCACAGAGGGCCACTCCAGCGAAGGGCCGCTCCTGCGTGCAGCCGAAGGCGGGGCGCCGTCGGGCCTGCTCCCGGGACGGGGCGCCGGCCGCGTCCTCGGCGGCGCACCCGAGGCGGCCCTCCAGCTCCTGAGGGCGGGGCGGCCAGCGCAGGCCAGCAGCGGCCGGGGCGGCCGTGCTCGGGGGCCCAGCGTGTCCCCCAGATCCTGGCCATCGCTCGGACGTCCACTCCCTGTGTTTTTTTTCGGTTTCGCGCGTGGCTTGTTCGCAGGATGATCTCCAGGATGCTCCTCCACAAGCCCCGCCGAGACAAAGCGCACACGTCCGAGCGATACCGAGAGCGCTGGCCTGGCCAGCGGCCGGGGCGGCCGTGCTCGGGGGCCCGGCGTGCCCCCCGAGGCCGTCTCCGAGGAGCGGAGGCTTTCACCTCGCGGCGCTTTTCCTCCGTGGCGGCCTGCGGGGGCCGCCGCTGGGCCCAGAGGCAAGCACAGAATGGGCTCCGGGGCGGAAAGAACTGGTCCGGGGGACAAGGTTTAGGTCGGGCATGTCCCCCTACAGAAGGATTTTGGACGAAAAGTAAAACAAATTATCCCAGTGCGACCCTACCTAGGAGTTGGAGCATCTAGGAAAGCAACATCTACATCTACACCGACAGCTACATTAACATCTACACCTGCATCTACATCTACATCAACATCAACAGCAAGACTCACATCTACATCTACATCTACACCTACATCTACACCTACGTCTATGCTATGCTGCGCTATACTATGCTATGCTTTGCTATGCTGCCCTATGCTGCGCTATGCTATGATATGCTATGCTAGGGTACGCTCGGCTGCGCTGTGTTATGCTAGGCTATGTTGTGCCATGCTATGCTGTCTTATGCTATGATATGATATGCTATGTTGCGCTATGCTATGCTATGCTATGCTATGCTATGCTATACTATGCTGCGCTATGCTATGCTATGCTATGCTAGGCTCTGCTATAATATGCTATGCTGCGCTATGCTATGCTATGCCGCGTCATGCTATGCTATGCTATGCTATGCTGCGCTATGCTATGATATGCTATGCTGCGCTATGCTATGCTATGATATGATATGCTATGCTGCGCTATGCTAAGCTAAGCTATGATATGGCATGATCTGCTATGCTGCGCTATGTTATGATATGCTATGCTATGCTGCGCTATGCTATGCTATGCTAGGCTATGCTATGATATGCTGCGCTATGATGTGCTATGTTATGCTATGCTATGCTATGCTATGCTGCGCTATGCTATGCTATGCTATGCTGGGCTTTGCTGTGATATGCTGTGCTGCGCTATGCTGTGCTACGCTCTGCTATTATATGCTGTACTCTGCTATGCTAAAGCTCGGCGAAGCTAAGATGAAGGTAAGCTAAGCTAAGATAAACCTGAGCTAAGATGAAGCTAAGCGAAGTTAAGATGAAATAAACTAAGCTAAGATGAGATAAGCAACGCTAAGCTAAGGGAACGTGACTGGGGGAACCGCGGGGCGGATCCTGGGGGAACCGCCCGGGGCCGGACCCACTGCCCGGCCCTTTAAGCACACAAGGTAAGAACCCTTCTAGGCAGAGCCTAGGTAGGGAAATAGTCAAATAAATACCCCAAAATGGCCCCCCAAAACAAACTGCTCAAAAATCGCCCCCAGCCTATATTTTCTATCCTTTTTTAATACAATTTTTGAATATTCCTCCTGTAGGGGAACACGCCCGACTTAAGACAAGGCAGGATCCTCTGGGGCCGCGCACTGAAAAATCAGATCGTTGGATGTCGGTGCCCAGGGAGACAGCAAGAGACCGACGCCGCCGCTCCACGGACCTCTCCTGGTGCGCATGTCGGCCAGGCTTCCGAGGCGAGTCCATCAACTGGGCGCAAGAGTGACCCTGGGCAGGGGTGGCCTTGGGTGCGCAGCCTTTGGAGGCGCGAGGGAGCCAAACCCAGGGGCGCGGGCCGCTTACATCGCATCGCGATCGGCGATCGGGGGGAGCCCGATGAGCCCGCACCAAGGGTCACTCCGGCGAAAGGTCACCCTCACGTGTGGTCGAGCCCAGCCGTGGCGGCGAGGGAAGGGCAGAGGCACGGGCCTCTCAGCTGCCCCGGTGCGCAGCACGCGGCGCGTGGCGCGTCGACACGCTCAGCGCGTAGGCTGCAGGCACAGGTCTGGCGCGACAGGTTCGCCGACGCGTGGACCAACATAGGGGGGGCCACATGCGAACCCTGCCCCTACCCCCCACGATTCCTGAGGGGGAGGGTGGGTCGCGGGGGTGAGGGGTAGGGTTCGCATATGGCCCCCCCCACACACGTGCCGAGCCAACACGCAGCGCGTTGACCCGGCCGTTTTGAGCGTGGTACCTGTTGCGTTTCACGCCGAGGGTAGCTAAGAGCAGTCGCCCTTCCTTCTCTGAGTGTCCGTGGTCTCTCGAGAAGCGCGTCGGATCCAAGGGGGCCCCCCTGCCAGGGGGGAAGGACCACGGCCAGGTTACGCGGCTGATCTGCAGCGGCGCTGCCGCAAGGGCCTCGGCGGACGGCCCTCGCAGGTCTTCGGGTGCCCAGGCCCCAAGTGGGCCTTCTGTGGGCCACGTTGTTCGAGTCCCGGCGCAGTGGGGAAATCACGACGGGCGCTTCTGGCCCGTCTCGGGCACGATGGCCCTCATGGATCGATCCCGTGAACGAAGATGAGATCGGCAATTCTGGCCTTGAACGCTTCACGACCTTCTGATGCTGGGAAAAGGAGTGACAGCTACGAAAAGGGAATGGAGGACATGAGGCTGGGCAGCTCGGCTCGGCAGGACACAGGGGAGGAAGGGGGGCAGCGGCGAGGCTTCTAGGGGAACGAACAATATCGAACAATGACCTAAACATAAAACTCAGAGGTCCACGCGGATTCCTCGGATCGTCGCTGGACCCCCCTCCCTGGCGCACGGAGCGTGCCAAGGGCGGCGCCGGAGGCGCCGCCAGGGGGGTCCAGCGCCGATCCGAGAACTTCGCGCGGACCGTCGAGTTTTTATGTTTATGCCATTGGTCATTCCCCTAGCTTCGGTGAGGAGCGAGGGCCTGGATGTCGGCGGGAAGCAGGACTTCGGCAGAGAGGCCCGCGGAAGCTCGGAGCCGAGCGGCAGATGGCCCTGCAGGAGACTCGGAGCCGAGCGGCAGCTGCGCCTCGCCGAAAGCCGTGCCACGGCGCTCGCGCAAAACGGCTTCCTCTGGTCCGAGCCATGCCAAAATACAGGTGTCGGAAACAATTAAGCAACACTCACGCATAACATTCCCCCCCCCTCCCCCCGAATGCAACGTTGGGCTCGGATCTCCCGAGCTTGAGTGTCGGACCAGTGATGCGTATACGTGCCAACTTTGAATTGCGGGGGGAAGGGAGTGTTGTTAAATGTTTCCCTCAACCGTATGCCCTACAAGCCACGTGTGCCATCCGCAGGCTTACCCCAAGCAGGAAGCCGCCGAGACCCTGAACCAAACATGATAACCAGTGGAGGCGCAGAGCCAACAGACGAAGACAGCGTGCTGCGCCGAAGACAACGAATCACCATGCCACATGCATAAGCACGGCGCGCGCATGTAATTACGTACGTGCTTGCGTAATCTCGGCACGCGTGCTAATTGTGGACCGAAACAACTTCAAACAAACGTTGGTAGGCAAGTGCAACCGACAAGCGGGCGATAAAGGATGTAGACAGGGGACGCACCAACGCGGTCTATGCTCTGTCAGGGGAGGCAATGCACATGCACAGGCGGGGCCGAGGAAGGGAGGAATAGCGAGGGAATAACATTGTCAACATGACCCGGGCGGCAGTGGTCGGGTCGAGACGGGCGACAAGCAGAGAGAGAGAGAGAGAGAGAGCCGCACGACTCTGCGCAGCGGAACTGCACGAGGCAGCTTGCTGGGCGGCGCCAGTGCAAGGCAGTGGGCACATTCTGCTGTGGATCTCTGCAGCGGAGCTCATCGTGGAGCCCTGACGACCACACGGCTGTGCTGCCTCGGCCGAGGAGCTGGCCGTGTCCCAAGATCGACCACATCGCGTATCGCCACGGATGGATCGCTCCGCCCTGCTCATCCTGGGCTTGCCCTCTCGAAGTCCGCGGGGAGACTCATCTGGAGTGAATATTGTCGTCTGCTCGTGGGCAGTGTTCGACGGCTAAAGCCCTGATCTTCAGACAAATATGGCTACTGCGGCACGTGCAGCCCAGATTCGTTGCAACGAGCTCGGACATGGCTTTGCCTGAACTGCGCTCGCCATTTCACACTGGCGCAGCAAAAACTTTGTTTTACGCTGGATTGACTCGCTGACGGACTAACGAGCGGACCTTAGTGGACACTGAGAACGGGAAGACATAGCTGTTCTGGGCTTCGGAATCACATGTTTTTGAACATAAAACCGAAAATCAACTGTTCACCGAAACGAGTATTCGCCACCGTGCCCTTGAGGCACGAGTTGGAGTGTCCTCAGGTCCCTGGCCGAGTCCACTGCACCACAATCCCCAGTCCTGAAGATTATGGGCCCGAAACAAAAATTGCCAAACCTCTTGCCCAAGAAGCCCCCAAGACTGTCAAAGAGGGCCCCGAGTCGCCAAGACACCTAAGATAGAGCCTCAAGACGAACCAAGATGCCCCAAGCCGCCCCAAGAGGCTTCCAAGAGCCCTCCCAAGAGGGCCCCAAGAGGCAAACATAATTGATGTTCCTAAGGTTTTTGAAAGATCTTGGCGTTCTCGCATTTTCGGCTTCCCGACGCTCCAAGACTGCCCAAGAAGCTCCCAAGATAG